ATTTACGCTTAATTTATAAATGATATATGTAGTAGAATAGTTGTTAATTTAATTATCTCAGTGTGCCTTTACACTTAAGCAAAAATTTTAACCATCGCGTAAAGGCTTAAAAAAGGTCTCTCTCGTAAACTTCTCTCTCATAGTCATTCTTGTTTGATTTACTATATAGTAGTGATGCTCGGGAGAAGAAAAAACCCGAGAATCGGGAAACGGGAGTCGGGTCGGGAAATGACCTCGGGAGTCGGGATCGGGAGTCGGGAATTAGCAATAAAAAAATTTTTGGCGCCTTCGGCACCAAAAATTCCGATTTTTTGCAGCATAGGCAAAAATATTGAAAATTCTGGAAGGTAAAGAAGCCTTACTAGCGCCGCAGGCGAAAATTTTGAGAATTTTTAGGTCTTGAAGTTAGATTTCTTCCATTTTTTGCGCCTCAGCCAAAAATTTTGACTCTCACTGGAGTGAAAGTTCAATTTTGGTGGAATTTTCGTGAACTAGCCACATACATATCTCTTCATATCCCTCTATAGTATTAACACCCCCTGTGCAACATTAATCATCCATTGATATCTCTCTTTATTACTGCAAATCCCTCGTTGTCTCTTCAAATTCACCATAATCCTAGTAAATCACCGAAATCTTCTATACTACAACTCCACAGATTCTTCTGTTTTCAGCGCCGCAGGCGAAAAAATTTTTTCTACTATATAGTAGGTTTGTTTTATTGGTTGTAGTATAGTATACCGGTGGAAAGGTTTCGATTTAAGACCCATACTATTCGATTCGTCTCGACTAGTTTTATCGAATGGTACCACTCATTTTTTGGAGATGACTGCGGACCGAAATAGCGGTCCCCGAAAATTGAAAACATAGGGGGAGTAAGCACAATTTTGGGTGAAAAATTGGATTTATTGAATGATAGCTCATTCGAAAGACCAAAAAAGGTGTGGAATCAAGAATCAAAACTCAAGACCAATAGTCTTGGATGTCGTTAATAAATCTAAATACTATGTAATCTTTGTTTCTGATTCTTAAATAAATCTAAATATACAATAGATTTAATGCCCCTTAAGCAATGGTCAATCCTTCCAGAAAAAGCCAAATGTGGATTCATAGCTTCATCCATTGGAATAACATCATCGCCTGAAATTTAAAGTAAATAGGTAATTTATTCGAATATTTAATATACGAGGAATCAGAGGTTTATGGTAAAATGCATCCATGTAGCATTGTGCCATTTTCAAAACAGCATTTCCATTGATTTCATCAGAAAAAGCTAAAAATATAATAAATTTTTTAAAGTTTTTTGTAAATTTTTACGGAGTAGTTCCTGGGACGGTATTCAAAAAGGTGTTAGGAGATTAATCCAGAATTCTCCAATCGAAAATAGAGGTTAAATGCATGCGTCTATTTGTTTATCGCAAATACAACTTTCAAAACAGACTGTAAAAATAAGTTTCGGTTTACCGAAGAATTTATGAAATTGACACTCTTCCGTGGCACTCTTCCGTTTTATATTAAAATTACCTTTTTGAAAATCGGCGAAAATAAGAAGAAATATTAAAATTAACATTTCTATCTAAAATGAACATTTATTTAGTTTCTACAAAATTTATTAATAATAAATTTTAAAACTCCAAAAAACCGAATTAAACAAAATCTATAACACAATCTGATCAGTAAAATCATGAAACTCCAAACGCCATTTATAATAAAAAAATATTTTCAACGGGTAAATGGCCAGCTCGAGGATATTATATCCGCGAAAGACATTCTGCAAAGAATTATTTTTCGATGCATTCAACTCCTTGCCGTCTCTCTCTTCTTATTTTCCTTCATTTATCAAATGATAGGGTGACATTTTAGCGCGACTAATAAAGAAAGCAAAGTGAAAAAGCTTTATAAATCTATCTAGAGTATTATTCGAAGATAAGGGAAGAAGGCATTTATGAAAAAAATAAAAATTTATAAATAAAATTTAAAAAATGAGTGAATAAATTTAAGGGCTAAATATTGAATAATAGCCAATATGATATGTACATGTACATATAATTTGAACAAATCACGCTTAATATTCACGAGTCTTGATTGCTTTCATAATGAATGAAAATTGATTAAATTTAAAATTTTTCGAGAATAAATTTTGTAAAATTCTAATTTGATAAAAATTAAGACAAAATATTAACTTTAAATGTATAATAAGGTTGGGCGGTATCGGGATTTCGACATAAATTAAGTATCGATATTTTGAAATTGATATTAATAGTTAATAGAAAAAATTGAAGTTTATAGTTGAAATAGATATTAATAGTTAAAAACTGAAATTTAATAGTTAATATTTAAAATTAATATTAATAGTTATTACTTGAAAATTTATTGCATCATAGTTAATAATTTAAAATTGATAGTTTATATTTAATGAACTCAATTTAGTTTTTTTGTAAAATTTGATGTGGGATGGCCGAGTCTGTCAAATTACAAGAGCTTAGTCCAGAAGAAATGTTGAGAGTCATTCCATGTGGGGCGAAAATGGCGTGAGTTTTTATTTTTAATTTTGCTTTAATGAATATGTATTTAGTAATAGATGTGACTGATAATGAAGGTCTTGAACAGTGCAAAGAAAATTACATTGTTATGTGCCTGTTCGAATGGAGCAATTTTTGCAGTAACCGGTTTTAAGAAATCAGTAGATGGTTGTTTTGGAAAGATTTGTACTTTGGGATCTGTAGGTTATCAGATTATTTGATATTCTATGTTTATTTTATAGGTTGTATCCTTTTTGATGCTAAGAGCCCAGCGTTTTGATGTCAGACAGTTTGATGGGAAGTGTTATTTTTCCACGCCCATCGACTTTGAATTAATAGTACAGCCTAATTCTAAATATTATTTCAAAGAACGTTGACAGTTTTACTGACATGAAGATACGGGAATTTTACAGTTAGTTCTAATGTTTATTTAGTAATATATAAGCGTTTTAGTAGTCAAATGAGTTTTAACTACGGTTTTTATGCCTTACAACAAGACAAAATGCTGTGCCATCTTTAGTGATTTAAAGTCTATATGAGTGATTTATATGTTTCTGGAGAATCCTTGGCTGAGAAACTTGGAAAAGGAAAAAAATATAACCAGGTTGTGCATTTGTTTTGCCAATATTACCGGTTTTTATTAGGTTCTAAAGAATGATATATTTTTTTATTAAGATGAGTGTTTGGAACTGCATGCTTCTTATCAAAAGATCTGCATTAATACAGACATTGTTTTATGCCCATTTGATAATCTATGGATTTAAACCTGTTTGTCAACTATGGTTACTTTAGGTTATTCCGAAACTCATAGAACTTTTAACTTTTTTTTTTATTTAAATTAATTATTAAAAATTATAAAAAATGAATGCCCAATGTAATCCATGAATTTAAATTTAAGAAATGAAAGTAAGAGGCATATAATTTCGCAGATTTATGTCTATTTTATAGTCACCGGCGCTCAGTAATCTGTCCTCATCCTGGCTCTTTACACTTATCTCCTTGGCTTAATATTCCTGTGATATTCTTTAGAAAGCATTTCTTGGCATTTTACTAGCTAAGCATTCTTTTTATCTTGCCATCATTGTATTGCCTAGCAGCATTTTTAAAAGCGCCTGACATCTTATAGTCACATCCTTGCAACTGCCTTTCGCGAGATTTCCTGTCCTCTACCAGGCTCAAAATTACTATTAAATGTCTTCTTGGCTTAGCTTGCCATTTCCCCTTCCTCTGTCAACATTCCTGTCCTTTTACTAGATAAGCAATCCCTGTCACCTTGTAATCATTTCCCTGGCTCAATACGTGTCATAATAATATCTACCCTATTTCTTAATAACTCCTGGCATTTACTTGCCGGCATCCCCCTCTAACATTGTTTTCTTTCATATCTTATTGTAAAAAGCTGATGTTTTGATTCGATTGAAGCAAAATTCAATTCAATTTCTATAACTAGGGCTTTAAAAATATACTAGGACTGCTAAATAACTAGGGCTACCAAAAACATGCAAATATAAACCCAGTATGCGTATATGCCTCTAACAGACAAACTTAAAATGTGCTTTTCAAGTTGGAATGAACAATTAAAACGCGGTTTTTAATGCATATATTTGAATGTCAGATTCATACCTATGTCAGATTCATAGCTATATAAATTTTTTATATTTTATGGTCTATCCCTATCCATTATTGGTAGACATTTTCAGTCATCTCCAGGGTCAAGCATCCCCTTTCTTCTACATTCTAATCATCGCCTTTCATCTATTCATTAAAGTAATATAAGGGGGAAGCTTCTGACATATTGTCACATGAGCCTAGCATATCCCTGTCGCATGCTTTCTTGCCCTCTTCCTGGCTTACAATTATTGTCTTATTAGCTCAGCTTGTCATATTCTCTTCAACATTCTTGTCGATATACTATCTAAGCAATCCCTGCCATTTTGCCATCATTTTCCTGGCTTATATGTCATCTTAATGCCTTAACCTTCAAGCTGTTACTGTCAAATTAAATTACTAATGTAAACAAAAACCCTTCAATAACACTTTAATCGGTGATACCACTTAAAACCATGTTTAATCACCGCCAACTTTTTGTATACGAAGATATACGTTTTAATCCCTTAAAATACCCCTTATTCCTCCAATTTTTCTTACAATCCTTTATCCGCCCAAATCCCTCTTAATTTTTGAGAAATTAACAGAAATAGACTGAAAAATCATTATAAATTTTTTCGATTAAAATCCCTACCCGATAAGAAGCTTTTTGCTCATCTGGCCCGACCGTTCGGGATAGAACTTCATGTCAAAAACATTAAAAACGTTAATAACGATATAAATATCAAATTATACCCATAGTTTTATTTAAATAAAGCCGAAATTAAAATATAAAGTTACTTTAGATATACTTATTTAATTTAATTATATAATTTCTTTATCCCATTTTTATAAATTCATTCTTCATTCATTCTTGCTTTCCACTTCAAATTAGCAGTTTACCTTTCTACCGAGACGTTTTGCAAGTTTTTGCAACAAAGTGCATTCTTTGCCAGACCCAACAGTTGAAGTCTCTGGTTGATCAGTTGAACAGTTCTCAGTCGCAGGATTTTGTTGCTCAGGTTGACGGACACGAGGAGTGCGAGAAGCACGGGGAGCGCGGGTAGGACGAGGAGTTCGAGGAATATTATGCTGACGTGGTTCTTCGTTGCCGGAAGGTGGACCAGATGGTGAATCAGTAGAAGGCTCATCATCGCATGGTTCTGTAATTCAAAAAAATGTGGGATTGAGAGTAATCTTCAGAAATAATATGAAAATAATATTTTTTGGGTAGTACGCATATTAGTATAAAGTGATAAGGCTATAGACGGTCTGTGTTAGTCATTCCTTTGTTGGATTCAAGCAGTCACTCTTGTTAGTTCTATTCTTGCGTCCCATTAACCTTGGATTATCCCATATTGCTTTACTCTATCCGTTTTATACGCTGTATATATCCGGTAGAGTTGATCAAAACGATACTGGTATCGGTCGACCCGAGAGACCTTATTCGAAAAAAATTCACTTTCTCTGTTATGAACGGATATCCGAAAAAAATTATAGACGAAAATTTGGACAATATTGAGGATATTGTTTCCTTGAGTCAGTAGCGTTTCTCGCCGAGAAATGAACCGAGAATATCGGTATCGGTTTCGAGACCGAGAATGAAAAAACCGAGACCGATATTGGAAAAAAGCCGAGAATCTTGGTATCGGTCTCGTTTTGATCAACTCTAATATCCGGATAAAGATACCAATATCCATGCCCAATACCAAGTCTGCTTTAATGTCCTCTTCGATATAATAACAAAAACCTAACCCCTAGAAAAATTAACAATTTTAAACTACCTTCACCGCCATTACCATCAGGAAGGTTCATTTTAGTAAGGCTTGCTCCTCTCAGGTTTTTAACACTATGACTATCACTATTTTCTTCAAAGTTTGTGTTACTTTCATCATGACGATCTTTAGTGTGTAATTCAGAACCATCTAAATTTTAGAAATATTCCAGAGGTAAATTAATCTTGAGAAATACCTTTATTGTAAACATCAACATTCTTGGCATTTTCTATTTCCTTCTTATTCAACTTTTTATTCTTCTTCTTGGAGTCTATTTCATTACCTTCAAATCCGTTAACATGAACCAAATCGGGTTCTAAAATTTATTTAATTTTAATGATCAGAGACTTCCTTACGATCTTCAGGATTACGTTCATCATTTTCAGAAGGTGGACCGGCAGGAGGAACAGAAGGTTCATCAGAGGAAAGTTCAGCAGAAGGAACTTTAGGAGGGTGTGTGCGATATTGAGGAACATCGAGTTTGTATTGAGGCTTTTCTAATCAAATTATAAAATTTTTTGGAGGGAGTTTATTAACATACCATCTTCATTATTGTCCTTAGGTTTTATTTGAATAGCGCCGGCTCCTTTAATGTGTTTAACGCTTTGACTGTCCTTATTTTCTTCGATATTTGTATCAATTTCATCATTACGGTCTTTAGTGTGTAATTCAGAACCATCTAAATTTGTATGAAAATATTATTAAAAATTCCAAAAGTAATTATATCATAGTCGTGTTATTAAATCCTCAGTGTATTGAAGATGGAATAAAATATCGTATAATGAGCTCACTCGGAGCATAAACGAATACCATGTTCCCATTCTCAACTAGGTATTTTCTTTTATTTTACTGGTATATTCTTTCCGCAATTAAGGATACAACATCTCTTCTATCTCGCCACTAAATATCTATCACTCTCTCTAAAGGATGTAAATTTGATATTAAGTCATTACTTTGATTATAAATATCAACATTCTTTGCATTTTCCGATTTTTCTTGATTGGCACGCTTGTTTTCTTTGATCGAATCCTTTTCGTTTGCCTGAATACCGCCTACACCAAGAAATTCAAATTCTGAAATTTTTAAAAAAAATTTCTAAAAATTGTTCATCTACTTACCCTGTCCATCATCACCGTCTTCGCCAAAGTTCATTTTCATGCCCCCGGCTCCCTTCAAATGTTTCACACTTTCACTGTTCTTGTTTTGTTCAACATTTGTTTTTACGTTATCTTGACGATCTTTTGTGTGTAATTCAGAACCGTCTTAAAAATTTATTTATATTATTAGAGTTAAAATTATGGATGGTTCGGGTTTTCACAAATTTTCTTTCAACCGATTTCGATTCAAAAATCTAATACCTGTATGATAAGCATCAACATTTTTCGCATTTTCTGTTTTCTTTTGACCGCCACGCTTGTTTTCCTTGATCGAATTCTCCTCCTCAGCACCAAAAACGTCAAATCCCTCCAAATCCTGTTAATATTTCAATTTATTAATGTTAAGGGTAGAGTGAATATTTTAAACGATTAATAAACCATGAACCAAAAATTATACTAAACACCAAAATCAGACCTATCTATAAGTTATGATTATATTTATTATTGTCTTATACAGTCTGATCTGACTATATGATAAACCCAATACTAGATATCCCCCATTTCAAATATGTTTTAAAATTTGGATAGTCATTTGGGTGGAGGTAGGCGTAATCACTGACTAGGCTATTTAAGCTCCTAGAGAATTTTTAAAGATGAGATATGGTTTTAATTCTCTGATAAAACTCTATTTTTGATTGAATTTTGATTATATTTTTGATAAAAAATTTTTTTACCCATCCAAATATTCCACTGGATGCAAGGCACAACGTTGCCAAAAAGACAAATTCAAAACGAATAAACATTATTAAAAAATAAAATAAAATTTTCTGAATATCGCTCCTTCCATCCCCCTATTTATTCAAAGGAAATTATTTAAAATTTCAAGCTGTTCAAATAAATTTTAAATAAAAAATTTGCCAACGATTTGTTGGAGTTTGTATTATTTTATAATTTAATGTTGAGGATTTTGTTTGACGCAATGAATTTTAATTTTTTTTATAATTTTTAAATTTATTTTTGGCTTATTACATGGCAAGGCAAACGGCTAAAGATTAATTTAAAAATTTTAAAATAAAAATTTACTTCAAGGTAAAAATTAATACACGTGCGAATCAAGCTAATAATAAGCTGAAGATTATTATTAAATTCTAAAATAGAAAATTGCCTCTATCTAAAAATAAATTCATATGATAATTTAAGTAAATATTTTAATTTCCAACATCACAATGCTAAAAAAAGAATTTTCTAAAAATATCATTTTCATACTTTATTTTACCCTAAAATTTAATTCGATTTTTTACTTTATTTTTGATTGAATTCTAACTCTCTTATGATTTGATATGGTTAATAGAATAAAACAAAATTCTAGAATTAACGATAATCACTGCCCAGTCCATTTTAGGTTTGCCTCGTATTTATATTTATACATTGACCTAAGGGAGCCGAAGTTATATGGATGGACTTATTGGGATATTTCAAAAAGGGTTTGAGATAGTGTAGTATACCGTTGGTAACATATTCGGTATTTTTCACCCCAATATCGGGCTTAATCCCCCCCCCCCACCATAGTTTTTCAATACTTCGGGACCTATAACTCAATCCGGAAACTTATCATGAAATATGAGTAGTACAGTTGAATTCAGCTTGTCGAGACGAATAGAATGACATTGTCACGTTTCGAAATTTTACTACCGGTACACTACACCAGCCAAGGGTTTGAAATAACTTTTCCTTCAGATATCTTATCTTTAAACCCGCTGTTTATGTTGTTGATGAACCAACTACAAATTCTTCTCAATTTCGGTTAATTAAGCTGGGTTGATTAAGGAACATCCTAAGCGATACTTTAAGATCCCTACATGATAACTTTCAGCAATAAGAGTGTAACATTAGCTTTCTAACTCTCATGTCCAAATAAATTACCAAATTTTAAAATTTACTAATAAAGGTGACACTATCTTAACGATAGTTATCTCTTTTTTTATAAAATAGAGCCTTTTAATATATAGCGTGTTTAAATACATTTTCCTTTAGTTATGGCTTTGTTTTCATGCTTTATGGCTCAAATATGCCATTGAATGTACGTTATTTTAAATATCTTTTAAATAATTTATTGTAGTATAGAACAGTCCATTTAAAAGAATACATGTAATACCATTTTTAATAAATCTTTTTTATCTTTTGTGTTCGCGTATCGTTATTGAGTATATATGGTCTTTAGGGGATAAGGATGTTTAGATACATACTATGATATTCAAAGATGAGATTAAATATTTGTAAAAGCCACATGAATTATTAAGAGAGTAGAAAGCAATTCGATCGGGTTAAGGTCTCTACGAGCAAATACAGTGTTAGGAATGCTGGACTTGTTACGAATAATAGTATAAAATTGTCTGATAACTAAATATCGTGATATACTGCCTATAAAAGGGATTTTAATGAGTTGGGGCCTAGTGGTGTTTTGCTTAGAAAATTTAGTTATATGACAGAAAGGGGGATTATGAATGTCTAGTTTATCAGTTAAATTACATTTACCAATTATCTTATCAATGATTTGTTTGTTTCTTTCGCATTAACAAAAAGGATTCTTTTAACAACTCGCTGTTGTGGATTTTTATACATTATTTCAGGATATTCAGCCATGTATATGTCGCCATTTTAGGAAAGGGAATATGTCAGCAGCAAAAGAAAGTATGTCCCCAAAATGTAGGAGAGAAATGTAGGAGGCAATTTCCTAAGCAAGGAGATTGACACGTTGATATACGCGCTAGATTAATGGTGAACAAGCGATTAGATTATTAGTTATTTTCTTAGTCAATTAGTTCGTTGAGAAAGCGAAAGCCAGCCGAAGAAGCTAGCTGGACAACGGGAACCTGATAGACAAGCAGGCACCTATTCGAACTTAAACTTGATATAAAACATAAAACAGAGTAAAGTAAAGCGGTTGGCCCCGTATCCCAGTTGCCTCGTTGCGGTGTTGAAGTTTTAAGCAAAGTCGCGCATGCTGCAGACATGTGTGAACTCCGCAGAGTATAGAAATAGGTGATCGCTCGCAGTGGGGGAATATAGGGAGACGTCTTCCCTATAAGACTCTATGGATTGGCCGGCCGGAAACTCTGTTGAATGAATGAAGAAGTGATCTGCCTTTGCCTATTCCATTAGAGCTTATATGCACCTTCTTATTTACCGTCGCTTTCCCAAGCGATACTTTCCCAAGTATCCGCCTTACAGTAACAAGATATGAGATCCATAACTCCAAACTCATCAATTACTTAATATCCTTGTTCAATTTTCCCAAAAATTTTATTAATTATTGCTCTTTAAGTTTAAAATTAATATCAATTTAAATACATTTATCTTTCACATTATTTATCCAATTTCTTTATTTTTAGTTCATTCGTTCATTACTTCCTTTAGATTTAGTAACAGTTAACTTTTCTTCCAGCCAACTTCTTAATCTTCTGCCATAAGTTGCATTTCTTTCCCTTGGCAGGTGGTGGAGGCACACTTGAAGCTCCTTCTATCTTTGGTCCAGATGGATATTTGTTATCAATTGGAGCTGGAAGAGGCTTTTTGGATGATGGAGCATCTTCAATCTCTTCAGGTGGAGATGGGTATTTGTTATCAACTGGAGCCGGAAGAGGTTTTGGAAGAGGCTTTGGAGATGTACTATCGTCATCATCAATCTCTTCAGGTGGAGATGGATATTTATTATTGACTGGAGGAAGAGGCGGCTTAGCGGATGATGGAGCATCTTCAATCTCTAAAGGGTCAGCTGGGTATTTATTATCAACTGGAGCTGGAAGAGGAGGCTTCTGAGAAGAAGGGGCATCTGATGGAAGCTCTGGGTCTAAAATTATTTTAAAAATTATTATTAAGGTCGAATCTAGCTATAAAAATCTCTATATTTGAGAGGGTAAATGGTGAAATCCTAAGGCTCCAACAACGGATATTCATTTGAATAGTTGACAAATATCTGTAAATAGTTTATGCAAGGGATGCTCTCACAAGTTAAAAATAGATCTTCATTTTGAACTATAGCCAATATTAAGCTTACCTTTGAATTATCAATTTTATAATTAAAGTATTACGTTTTGGAAGCAACTTTTCTTCACTTGGCCCATCTAAAGGAAGCTCTGGAGTCAAAGTACGGCGTCTTGGATCTTTAGAAATCAAATTTTAAAAAATTTAATAAAATTCAATTACGTTCTGGAATAGGCTTCTCTTTCGAAGGAACAGAAGGCTTGTCAGAGCATGGGCGTTCTTCATGATGAGGCTCACGATGTTCTTCATGATGAGGCTCACGATGTTCTTCAGGATGAGGCTCAGGATGTTCTTCATGATGAGGCTCGGGATGTTCTAATGATGAATTTTAATAAATTCTATTTGATAGACTTTGAGACCGGAAAAAGAGGCTCTGACTCAAAAATCTAAGTTTTCGAGATTCCTCTACATAGCTAACACTTTAATAAATCCCTATGCGGATCTCTGTTTATACCTGATTAATTTTCTTACCATGACTCTCGCTACTTTTTCGATTTTTCATAGCCGCAAGTTTAGAGCCGCGAATGCTTTTTTTACTTTCGCTCATTTTGACTTCTTCCATTTTTTTATCAGATTCTTTGTTAACTTTCTCTCCAAGAACATGAGAACCATCTAATATTTTTTTAAAATTTTTATGATAATTTTCAAAATATATTTCAATTACCTTTGTTAAACTCTTCCCGCTTTTCAGAATTCTCCTTATTTTTTTCTTCACCATTCTTCTTTTGCAATTTTCTATTTTGTTCATTTGCTTCGAATTGGTCAAGATTTACTACACCTCCTTCATTATTGAAGAAATCGTCTCCCTGGAAATTTTTAAAAATTTTTCTATTATTTTTTAATATTGTGAGAATTTATGACTTGATCAAGTTATAATTATATTTATTAAAATTACATCCGATATAATATGCCGAGCTATAACTAAAACCTCCATAAACTGTGTTAAGGTCTAAACAATGCTTTGACATTTTAGGGGAAGGCCATCTTTTGAGGACTGACACTTTCAGACCCTGCTTACACAAAAAATAAAATTTTTTTACCCATCCATAGATTCCATTGAATGCTAGGCATAGAGCTGCCAACAGGAAGAAGTTGAAACGAAGAAGCATTATTCACTTTGGAATGTAATAAAAATCTGTCTCCCATCCCTCTATTTATTAGGACGGAAATTTTAAATAATTCCAGCTACTCAAATAAAATAAAACTTGGCAGAAGCTTCCTCTTTCAATTGAACTTTGTTGGAAAATTAAGTATTTAATATATACTTAATATATTAGTTAGCGATAGATAATGCAATTTTAGTCAAGTAATGCTTCATAGTTTAATTTAAAATTAAATTTTTGAGGGAGAATTTTTGAAAGATTGTCAATTTATTATAGAGAGTGAAGGAAAGAGACGACTTCCTTTCATCCTTCCATTGCTTCTATACTTCAACCACGTCCTTCCACCTTTCTAATGAAAGAGACAAATCTCCACGTTTCTAAAGTTAATAAAACTAAAGATTCTAGTATTTTACTTGACTAAAATTTAACCTTAGCAGTTAAACAAATTATAATTTTTTAAATACATAGAATCACAAGAGAATTTAATTTTTTGGTTAAAATATTTAAAAAAATTTTCATAATCGATAAAAAATTAAATGAATTTTAATTAGATATTTTAATCTCTGGTTTTAATTTCTGGTTCGAGTTGCGACTTTTCAAATCCATCAATATCTCCAAACTATCTTAGAACAACATAATCCTCGATATCTCCCTTAATCTTTGATATCCCTCATATTCCCTCCCTCTCCTAATAATCGTTATCACAAAAAAGAAACTCAAAATTTAGCCTGTCGCAGATCTCACAATATTTAACAACACGATATTGAGTATGAATAAAATTTTACTTTTCTTCCGCTTCCGCTTTTAAAAATTGAATTTTTTAAATCATGCTTTATAGTGCTTCATTACAAAAATATTTTTTTAATTTTGAAAAAAAATTTTCGCACGCAGACCTATTATTACGTTTTTTTGACTTTTAAATGTGTGGGATTCTTTGGGCTCAAGTTTAGATTACCAATTCTTCAAGCTATAATTTGTTAAGATGTTAATAACTAGAAAATTTGTCAGCTTCTAGCCGACATTCAAAAAGAAGATAAAATATTTAGCATCAGATAAATTCAACTGTGCAACCAATGCTATATTAACGCAACTTATCTATCTCAAACCAAAACTTCTTACAAAAATAATTTTGTATAAACAAGAATTAATATTGAGAAAATTTTTTGTGTACCTAACTCAACAGCAGCATCTTTAAAAAACGAGGACTTGTGGAAAATTATGACTTTTTGTCAGATTTTCTGACATACAAAAATACAAATTGCGCCGTAAAATAACGAATTATAAATTCATTTCACAAAAATTTTTAACATTTTTATAACGCAATAATATATATTATTGACAATTTAAGACCAAAAATATTAAAAAATAAATAATTATTGAAAAATTTTGATAAAAATGTTTGATAAAGATTAATCCAAGGATTAATCTTTATTTTCCCTATTAACTTAACCACTCAACCAAACATCTCTCTTTAATAGAGACTGAAACATTACTAAGAGATGTACGGGTTGAGAAAAAATTTGAGCATCGTGTCGATTAATAGACCGGATATCAGTTACCAAGACTCCCCTTGTACAAATTTACACTAAAATATCATCAAATAACATAAGTTTAATTATTAGTCTCAGCAAGAAACTAGAGTTTGCCGGTATCGGGATCCCGACCTAAAATCGGTATCGGTATTTAGGAATGATGATACCGATCCCGATACCGATACCGACCTCGGGATCGGTATTGACCGAAACCGGTATCGGGATTTGGGTTAGTGATACCGATACCGGTACCGATTCGGGATCGGTATTGAGAAATCAATCCTTAGGGGTGTTAAAAAATATTTACAAAATCGGTATTTTGTCGGTATCCGACGCTAATCCCGATACCGATACCGATACCGGCCTCGGTATCGGTATCAGCAAAAACGGTATCGGGATTTATCATTCGGTGTCGGTATCAAAAAATCGGTATCGGGATTCAAAAAAACCGGTATAATACCGCCCGATACCGGTCGTGATCCCGATACCGGCCAACTCTACAAGAAACATGAGTATCTTCCGTCATAGAATACATGCTGTTTATATTCGTTTAAAAACGACATCCAATATTAAATTTTAAATAAATTCCATTTCAATACTAAATCCTTACTCAACCAAATTAAAATCGTTTCAGGCAGGACAGAACAAAATTTATTGAATTCTTTTTGGTTTGTAGATTGTTTTTGTCTCTTTTAATTATTTTTTTAAAATTGTAACGTTAAAATACTCCATAAAATTTATTTCATTTCCAAAATAATTTAAGGATAAAGTAAAAGATATACTACAAAAGCCACTATTAGCGTAAGTCTAATTAGATCATACTAGCCTGCTAGTCCCTGATCTCCTTCATCTGTTCCAACTTTATCCCTTCGCCTACAAATTGTTATTTCTCTTTGAATAAACTGTTAATTATTGCACGTCGACTTTCGTACAACTCTTGGACATAACAAACTTCTTGGCTCTTGATTATTTAACTAGTCTAAGTTGAGCTAATCTTCATTCCAATCACATAGTTAAATCTTTACCTATTCTATACCTATTTTTGTCGCTAGAAAACGACTTCCAAAAATACACAAACTAATGCTCGGATAACCCTAAGAATTATATTTAACTATTATTTTAGGCTATGACTAAATTAGATATTTTATATTTCTAATAATTTGAGTAACTCTCATAAATTAATCTTGAGTTCTGAAAAACACAAATGACACGATCGTGTTATATAATTGTAGAAGACAATTCATAAATAGGTTGTTTTAAGATTGGCCCCTTTACACAATCGTTCCACCGAGTCAAATACCTTAAATATAATTTAGTACAATTATATTATTTTAAAAATGAAACATTTATATGATTTTAAACTCCTAGTTTCTGTTTGAACTTCGTTAATTTTTTGGATGTCGCATAGATTGTCGACAAAAAGCCTGTTTAGGAGCTGTAATGTACTACATAAAATTTTAACATTTAAATTTCAAGTAAGCCTAATAACGAAGACGATTTACCGTATTTACTCTAATTGAATGACAGTCATTCTATTTTTCAATACCCCAGAAATTTGTCATTCAATTAGGGGGGTCATTCAAATAGAGGAGTTATTCAATTAGAGTAAATACGGTATTTAAAATCTTATTCAGCCCACTCCATGTGTTTAATAAACTCCTAGTTTCTGTCTCTATATGTCAGCTGTTTCTAAATTTAAGTCAAAAGTTTATAAAAGAGCATCACAATTCTAAACAAATGTGAAGAATTTCTTACTGGTTTCATGAAGGCTAGATGCAGAAATACAGTAAAAAATAATTGTCAGTGGGGCGTTCCATAGCATAGAATTTATATGTATTCATTATATTTTATTACATTCTTTTTGTTTTAAATTTAGATGCACTTATTAGCTTTGTTTTGGCACGTCATCATTCCTAATTTTTTGGATGTCGCATAAATGCCGACAAAAAATTAAGTAAATTCACAAATGTTGCCTGTTCGATTTTTCTAAAATCGTTCCGCGTTTGTCTTCCTTATCAAACGAGTTGTCTGCCAGAAGATTGTAGGATCACCTGAGCAAAGCTACTTTTTCTATTTATTACTCTATAAATATCAGGCTTGATATTTAATATATTTTATTACGTTAAAAATGAGGTAAAAGTCAATTAAACATAAATCTTCTTATAGCCTCCAAAAAAGTAATTACATATTTTTGGATGTCAGCGAAGCTGATAAAAAGTTGTTATTTTGTAATTTGTTGTGACTTGAATTACAAACAAATTGAAGCTTGCAAAAGAAAAATATTTTTTCTCAGATTCCAGAAACCTCTAAAAGCTAGAATATTCCAAATTTGAAACTTGAATTATATTATGTAAACTTTAACTTTTATCATACCTTACTTTCAATACCTTCGCATTTATTATTTACCTTTATTATAATACATTTGCCACTGAAAACAATGAATTAGAGAAATAATCGAAGTTGATAAAACTGATAGTCACCAACTACTAAACTTTGATTTTATCCAACAAAATTTTTCAAGAATTCAAAAAAATCACTCATTTACAAATATTTTCGTTTTAAACTGTCATTAATATATATTATTTTGTTAATAAATTGATAAAAACTTGTATAAAATAAATTTTTTAGATAAATTTTATACCCAGAATATATTTTTGTTTGTCAGAAAAGCTGACAGAAATTCATGTCAAAATATTGAGGCTACCTTGTAAATGAAGATGCAGCTCTATTAATGATAAATTAAAATAAATTTGGCAAATATAAAATAACGATTTTGAACGAAGTTGTGATCAAATAAACAGTTCCATAAAAATGTTTTTTAATTTTCCAGATGTTCAAACTCGATTATCTTTGCCAACAGTGAACCTAATTTTTAATATTTGGCATCAGCAAGTTTTCTAAAGTGTTGTGAATAAAACAAAAAAAGAATTATCAATTTTCATTAATTTTGAAGAAAGTTATGACAAAAAGAAAAAGTGGCATAGAAATCCAATCCAACCAAATCCAATCCAAAATTTTCGGTCCATACATATATCGTCTCGTGACTAACACTAATAAATACATTCAACATTCATTATATTTTATTACATTCTTTTTGTGTCAAATTAAGATAATTATGTATTCTCGTCTGCCGCAGCCGCTCCTGTCTTTATTTTTTTGGATGTCGCATGAATGCCGACAAAAGTAAATTCAAAAATCCAAATGCTAGAATTTTCCAAATTTGAAACTTGAATTATACTATGTTAACTATAACTTATATCATAACCTACTTTCAACTAATTTGAGTAACTCTCATAAACTTAATCCTGAGTTCTGAAACACACAGAATGACACGATCGTGTTAAACAATCGTAGAGGAAAATCCATAAATAGTTTCTTTTTCGTTTGGCCTTTTCATTATAGTTCCATAGAAACAAATACCTTACATATAATTTAGTGCAATTATATTATTTTAAATGGAATGATTTATAGGATT